AGGAACGTCTCCCCACCTGCTCCCTGGATCCATGAGTACCTGGGGAACAGGTCCCCCTCCCCGGGGGGGAGGCCCTGAAAGGGGAATCTGGCAGGATCAGGAACCAGGTGGACCCATCTAGGAAAGAGGAGGTACCAGGACCCTCCTCCCCCTGGCGGCTTGCCAGGTTTGCCTCCCTAGGGGAACAGTAAATATTTTCTGCCATGAGGGTGCCTGAAGATGGGGGGAAGACTTGCACCTCCCATGTTGTAGATAGATAGATAGATAGATAGATAGATAGACAGATAGATGTTGTGTCATTATTTTAATGTAGCCTGGGTTATGTCAGCCAGTTAAGGTTCGATTGTGTTATTGTTCTTGCTTGAACTTATCTGTGGACACCTGCATTTATTTGTGTAGCTATATTTGCCTGTGGTTATTGTAAACATTTATCTATGTTTTTATAAATCTGTAAATATTTATATTAGTTGAATATTAATACCTATTCCTTTTTTAAGGATTTTGTTAAACAGTAATAAATTTGTATATAGTTAAGTGCTTTGTCCCAGACTGGCTCTATAGAGAAAAGAGGGAACTGCTCCCCGGTGAAAGACCCCTCTCACAGAACTCTTGCCTGACCACCCCGTCCCTTCCACTTGCAGACAGGGCACACCCCTGGGTGTACACAGGCTACAATAGTGTTACACAGACAGCTCAGAAGACTGAACTCATCCAAAACTGAACACTATCATAGGCAGCAGCAATACAAGTATCGGACCTCTCCCCCCCACATTTGATATGCTTCAGCCACAAAGTAAAGGCAACATCTTCAGGGCTAAATGAGATAGGTCTCTCAGAAGAGCTGCCAAGAAGACAAAACTAATGGATTTGCAGTGTGGAATTTTACACTAAGTGGACTTGAAACCCCCAAATAATCATTACTTCTACGCTGGGAAAGAAGGGAAAGGAAGCAAAGAGAAAGGCAGATATTCTATTTTGAAAGAAGCACGTATGTGTTAATTGTTTCACACCTAAAAGCTAGGCATATAGTGGTTGGTGTAGTTGGTGGTAGCACCGCTCCCACAGAGGAAGTGGGATCACTGTGCAGTGAGGATGTCAATGGCATTAAAGAAATGAAATGATTACTTTGATTCAGCTTTCACTTAGGAGGAGGATATTGAATAGGGGGTGGGCAAAGGCAGAGTAGCTAATGGGAATGAGGTCACAAAAACAGAAATTTCCACAAGTGTAGCAGAGGTAAAGCTCAAAGTCATAGGTTGGGAGAACTGTATGATTTCCACCCTACAATTTGGAAAGAACTGGCATATGAAATTACAAATCCAGTGGGAAGAATCTTAATAAATCTATCAAATTGGAACCATATTATTGGACAAAAATGCTGCCCACATTTAGAAAGGGGGAGAGTATCTGGAAAATGTAAGCTGATTAGTTTGACTGCAGTAGTAGCAAGGCTTTACAACAAATTTTGAAGGGAAACATAATTAAAGAGATATATGTAAATAGAAAGTGGAATAAATTGCAAAGGTAGATTGTGCCAAAATAAACTGATACTTTTCTTTGATAAGACATTTTTTGCAATAAATCATACCTGTATGGACCAAAATAAAGCATTTGACACAGTGTCTGGTGGAAAATAATTAGTAAAACTAGAGACAATGGGGATTAGTTCAAAATACATAGGAATTAGCTGATGATCAAACAACAAAAGGTTGTGTTAAAAGAGGAAGTATCAAGCTAGAAGAAGAATTTTACATATGAAGAACTAGATGACATTCAGGAGCAACAGAAGTGGAAGCAATAGAAATGGAAAACTCTTCAATCCTACAAGATGCAATATCATGCCCTTAGAAACCAGTAACAGGAATTTCTGGTATAAACCAAGCTTATCAGTTGAAAGTGACTTAAGGACTAGTTGCCTACAGGATGACTAAGTCACTGATAAGGTGGAGTCATGAAAAAAAGAAAGTATTGGGCAAGGTACTTATAGTACATATAGTGAAGGATTGATGCCACTGTACAAGGCATTAGCGAGACTTCATCTAAAATACTGCATCCAGCCATGGTCCCCCCGTTCCAGGAAAATCATTATACAAGAAGACCCTGAATAAACTTGGTTTGTTACATCCAGAAAACTACAGGCTAAAAGTGGATAGGATTGTTGTCAGTAAGTGCAAAGAACAAAACACCAGAGAGGGAGAATAAAAACTGTGGTAACATTGTGTAGACTGGCCGTGAATAAATTTAGGCTGGAAATGGGAAGAAGGCTACTTTCCATCAGAGGTGTGAGATTCTGGAACAGAGCAATAGCACAATAAACCTAACTGTTTTTAAGATGGGACTTGATAATTTCTTGAAAAGATTTATATGACATAGCTGTCTGAAATAGCAAGGAACTGGACTTGATTGCATAGGAGATCCTTTCCAGTCTTATGTTCTTAGAAAAAAAAGCAGGAGAGTAAAAGTTACTAAGGAAATAATACATTATCTTCTTCATCACACAAGACTGGTGGCCTTGTGGAAGGGAAGGAGGCAAAACCATTAAGATTGGGTCTCTAAGGGGACAGAATTAAATCCAGATGAACCAGAGGTCCTCTTCACAGGATACACTGTGTTTAGTAATATGCAACAACTATAGATAGTTATTGGACCCACCTTCTCTCTGTAGATGGGTACTAGATTGGAAGTGGGTTTATTTTCTTCTCAAAGGCTGCTTCCACAAAACTTTCTTGTTTAAATGCCCATTCAGAAATCCTCCGGTAACTAGGTAAACATATCCCCATATAAAGGCTGCTTCCCAAGTCTAGAATTGCATGCAACCTAAATATCCAAGGGGTCACACAGAGGACTTCCACATCTTCAAAGGCAGGGGATAAAGCACAGTGGAATTATTGCTTCTGCTCACGCTCTTAACCTGGCTGTGCTGCCCCCCCCCAACCTCCCTCTCCAAAAACAAAATAGGTAGGGAGGAGAATCTGGCCAGATAAGTTCAGAGGGAGGAATATTTCCTTTTAAATATATATGAGTGCTCCAGGTTCACAACCAGTTTGTTTTCTTGTTTTAAGAGATAGGGAAAGCACTACAGTAAAGAAAATAAGCCTCACTTGGAAGGATATCAAAGAAATGGGAAGGAAACATAATACCTGTTCCTACAGTGCTGTCCTTATATTTATAATTTTGTTTCTCAGACAGTGGCTTGGGGGGAAGCTATTTCATTCTGGGGCATCATTCCTGCAAGTCATCATTCCTGCAAGGAAACCTGTAAAAAAATTTTTAAAAAAAGAAGCTCTGTGACTGTAAATGTCATTTTTTTCATTACCTTGCTCTCTGCTTCCATCCAAGAGAAGTTCTGCACATCAATTCCTTGTGACAAATGGAACAATGGGTGGCAGTTATATATCATCACACAACTCTTCATTATTCTTTGAGAAACTACAGTGACTGATTTTCAATTACATTGTATCTAGTAATATGTAACAGGCCTGTATAGCCACTACAGGTAATTATTGTGCCCACAGTTTCTCTGCAGGGGAGTAGTAGATAGGATGTGGTTATATTTTCTTTTCAAGGGCTACTTATAAAAAAATACATATACGGTAACAACCCAGATAGGGAAGGAGGAATATCTTCTTAAGTGAAGAAAATGAGGCTATGTCAAAATATTTTTGGCCACGCTGAAGCCTGTGATTCTTTTATTGTATGCTAATAATGTTAATTGTAAATCTGGAATTAAAAGGCCATGGATTTGTACAAGACAACCAGCATTGCTCTTTTGCAACTATATTATGGCCAAATTTCTGTGCTCTGTTACACTGCTGTCACTTCACTGAAGAAAATTTCTTTGGAGTAGCATTTTCCTAAACTGAATATAGAAGCTGGAACAGTAATATTTTTGAGCTGAAAGGAGACAATGGACTAATTCAGTAGCTTGTCAATGTTCACACACTGAAGCAATAAACAAAGAAAGACCGGGGTTTATCAACCCGTGGAATTACAAGGATCTTGGAGTCGCAATATGGAGCACCCTATTCAGATATAAGGATGTTAATATTGCTGCAGTGTTGTCAACCCCAAAAGCTCAAAATTTATCACACCCCAAAAATCATGAGGGTTATATTTAAAGTTGATATTGGGGGGGTTTGGTCTGTTTTGTGATTTTCCTGCTCTTTCTGCTCCTTCCTCCCTCTTGTGAACAAGCATTGGCTGCTTCTTCCTCAGAAGTCCTCAGCTCCTCAGAGGATGGAGGACCTTTGCTAGTCTCCTGCTTCAACTGGGATTGGCAGCTTATCCCAAGGAGACAGAGCGGAGAGATTTTTCCTAGACAGAGCGAACATATCACTTGAAGACTGGGGCTTCTGCTTGCACCAAGGCTGGTGTTGAACAGCACTCATTATCTGAACCTTGACTCAAGAGATGGGCTTCTTGCTCCTCACTCTGATCTGAAGTAGACGATGGACAGACACAGCAAACGAGTGTGGTGCTCAGGCACTATTTAGCTATTAGCACCTTGTTGGAGGTGGGGATGACCAGACTTCAGCGCGTGTGGAGAACAAACCAGGGGAAATGGACAACAAAGTGGAAAATAAAGCTTCTAATTTCACATTTCAGTTACTGGTGTGGACAAATTACAAAGAAAAACTGGCTCCCCATGGAACGCCTTGGTGCCCATGCTAGCTGAATGCTCCTGACAGAGCAGAGCAGATATAGTACTGCTATCCTGACCTGGCATTTTGGCTGGTCAGCTACAAAAAAGGCTGGTCCCTTCTCTTGCACTGATTTCACATTGGTGAGATTCCCTGGAATTCAGCAGAGGGCTGCAACTTGTTATACCTTGCAGTTATATAGCATATCTGGTTGCTTCCTAGCATGTAAAAACGTGAACATTCATTTCATACAGCATGTCATGGTATTTTCATTCCATTTTTCTAATTAAAAAGATCCAGCTGTTCAGCTCTCTGGAATTTCTATGTTCCCTAACCCTAGATGTTTTTCCCATCATGTAGGTGGCCCAGGCTCTGGAAAAGGAACCCAGTGTGAACAGTTAGCACAAAAGTATGGATTTGTACATCTGTCCATTCGTGATCTTCTCAAACGAGAATCATCCTCATTATCAGAGAGGAGCAAATTGATCAAAGACATCCTGGAATGTGGGGAGCAGGTGCCTGGAGTAAGTAATGTGATTGCAGAAGAAAGCAGGAGGCCCCCTCAAATAAGGGAAATAGGAGAGCAGAGCTGAGGTGCTTTTCCATTTGAGGAGGAGTAAGGTCCCTCCCTGGTAAAGAGGTGTCCCCTTGTCTAGATATGTGGCAGTCTTCTTCATTGTGTTTACCAGGAAAAGATCCTCTTTTACCTACAACTTACTCATAAATTCCCTGAGAGAGAGCAATTATAATGAACTGTTTTGTATGCTACACCTTTGCAGAAAGCACAGCTTACGATGGGGAAGTGAGATAGGCACTTTTCAATTCTGGACTGGTGCAGGCACTGGCAGGAGCCCCAACTTAAGTTATGTACCCCTAGCAGCCATTTTAATTTATGCTGCTTTCAATTGTCTTTATGGATCTGGCTGGCATCCAGAACAGTGGGAGTGCAGAGCAATGGGACTGGGATGTAGCATAAGGCTGTTATACTGGCCATTCCCTCCAAGAGAAGCCACCTCCCTAATTCCCAGGCAGCAGACATCCTGCAAGCTATGTAGATTTATAGCCATATTAAACTATATTGCAAGCCAGAACCAAGGACAGTTTGAGCTACAGCAAGTGCAGTTAGATTAAAAGATGTGTGTGTTAATAAAATGCATCAAGAAAGGAAATTAAGAGGTATATTGGGTCTGGGTTTGTTTTTCACTTTCTATAACAGGATCAATTCTATTGTCATTAATGCAGTCACAAGTTTTGTGCATTCAATTAAACTCCAAAATGTCCCTCCTCCTTCCCTTCCCTTCCCTTCCCCCCCCCCCCATGAGGCTGCACACCTTAAGCAGAAATAGAAGAGAAGATCATGGAAATCCAGGACAGATGATAAGCCTGCCCCTGGATTCATGTGACAGTTGTTTCTGAGAAAATGCTATTCAGCGCCTACAGTAAATTTGGTACTACTAGAAAAAAAAATTATTTTCAAGGGGTCTGCCTACGGGAAGCAGACTTGCAATGGTTCCCAGAAACATGGGACTAAAGATGTTATAACAAAACCCTTTAAAAGAATACATATTGGTAACAAAGAATTATTTTTCTTCAATGCAGGATATTATTTTGGAGCTAATGAAGGAAGCTATGATGACCAGTTTAGGAGAGACAAAAGGATTTCTGATTGATGGCTATCCCCAAGAGGTGAAACAAGCAGTAGAGTTTGAAGAAATGGTAAATATCTACTTATATACTCATATATAAACAATCACTTTCATTGGACCCAAAAAGCAATTAATCAGATACCCAGCTTTAGCAGGTGTGACCATAACACAACATTCAACTCGAGTCCAAGAGCGTAGTCTTGCTTCTGTCATTCAGCTTTTGGCATTCAAGAAACACAGTGAGTCTAGCTCATTTTCCCCACTATCCTGTCTCTGCAGGGACAAAAAGAATGAAAACAGACTTCAGTCATTTAAATAAGGCTAAATCTGAATTGTTATGTTTAAGAAGATGTGCTACTTTTAGATTAACTCTTCCAACCATAACCACTTTGTCAGTTCCATGTTGCCACTATACATCCTATCATGATTCATTTTAAGTGCTATTTGATGTAGGTCTATGCATGTATCATCATTATAATTATTCTTTCCATTGAGTTAGATCTCTTAGTAGTCACTACCATTTTGAATAAGCAAGGCATAGGCTTTAGTTGTATGATAGACAGCATGTTGAAATATCCATGAAAATGGCATTTTTGCAAGTTAGTTGTGTGGTAGTTTACAAGGAGTAAGAAAGGTATTGATTTCTCAGTGTATTCACAGACCCACTGAAATTACTTCATTATTGATTTCTGAGCCTGCAGAAAGTATTCTCTCAAAATAAACACGTAGACTGAATGTGTGCACACTCACTAATGCAAGGAAAAAGCAGAACAAAAACAGCTGATTGGTTTATATCAGTGTGTTAAGGCCTAAGCACCAACATACACATCACTTACAGGCTTGTGTATCTGCCAGCATAGGCCCATCTCAATGCTTGCCTTGGGTGAATTCTCCCTCTAGACGATTCAGGATGTTTACAAACAGAGGATATAGAAACTGTAGCCAGATTCCCACAGATTTCCTGAATTAAGTCCATGGCACTGCAACACTCCTCAAAGGCTAGGCAGTACTGAGTCCTTGTTAGCTTTCAGAGCAAAAAGTAAAGATCCAGATATTTAAAATTTAGCTGATAAAAATTAGTCACCAATTCAACCCTTGTGCAACTTCACTGAAGCTACTTAAATTACAGCAGGGGTGAATTTTAGCCCTAGGTGACTCAATAAGTCCTTGAAATATTTTTAAATTGGTTAGGTCTGAGATAATGTTCCTAGGAGAAATAAAACACTAGAGTAATTTTTAAAGGTCATTTAAGGAAAATGGCCACCTGCATCATAACTGAATGAATAAAAAGACATCACAGGAGTTTTCTGAGAGTGTATTAATTAGTGGTGACAGCGCACTGGAACCATCATATACAGCATATGCAGCTAGCATTATAAGTATCTAAGAACTGTCTAAGATTCAGGAATAGCTCTCACAAAAAGACAGAAACACAATAAAAACCTTTAGTTTCCTAAACTAATTCTCTCATGAATTCAAGTGCTTCAGGCTATCAATGTGCATCACTGGTGCCTAGCTAGTATATTTTTTTCTATTTAAATGGCCCTGGTTTGATAATAAACTCCCTTGCAGCTTGAGGGACAGAAAATCCTGTTTGTTAGCGCTTCAGGCTAGTTCGAACTAAGCTAGTATCATGTGAAAGAGTAAATCACACAGGGCCAACCTGAGTAGTATCTCACTCTTCAAGTAAGACCCAGCCACGGATCCAACACAGAGTCAATATGTAGTGAGGGCAGTAAATAGCTTCCTAAAGATTTTGTTTCTGGGTTAAAGTCCATGGGCCCTACAGGAGCCCGCCAGAAGTTATACAGCACTGAGTGCTGACTAGACTACATGCATATGGAGCCATCTCAATGCCATTATATCTGGGGGCCTTCCATTCATTTTAGTCTCACAAAACCTTTGAGAAGGAGAGAACTATTATTTCAGTTTTAAGATGGGAATGTGAAGCAGAGAGACATTTATAACTAGGGTGACCATATGTCCCAGGCAACAGGGAGACTCAACTTCTGTAGCCCAGTCCCAGCCAGTTGGTCAAAAGTCCCAGAGTCCAGCAGGGAAGTAGAGCGGCACAGTGCACCAGGCAAGTGGGTGGGCAGGCACTGCTGCGGCTGGCCGGGGGGAAGGCAGGCAGACTGGAGCAGGGTGGCAAGCTATGGCAGCAGTGTGTGTCCCGACTTGCCCAAGACATACGGTCACCCTACTTATAGCCCATCACTCCCTCTTTGGTGCAGTAGCAGACAGTACCATAACAAGACACATGACACCTACACCACTCTCCCCTATATCAGAACGAATTAAATCCCCATAGGGCAGAGATATGTTCAAGGCCATAAGTTCTGCTGAGCAACAGAGCAGTGGTGGCAACACCACTCCTCACTAATGCAGCTATGAACAGAACAGAAAATCAGAGAAAAGGTGGGAAGAGATGCAGCCTCTGGAGAACTCAAGGGTTTTCAATTTTTGGTTTATCTGGTCAAAGTTACTTAGCTCTATCAGAGGAGCCCAGGCTATAATTTTAAAACTTGTGGTCATACCAGCCAGTCACAACTGAGGGAAGACACTGACCCATGGGATTTACTTCATGTGCATTGCAGGGAAATCTTAACACATAAGATAAATAGCACAGATAAATACCAGACCTCCTACTAATTTGTCCACAACTTTGTCTATCTAAGATGACCTCTGGACTTATTGGTTTTAAATTAAATAGGCCACTGGTAATCTTTCCTGGCCTGAGCTGAAAATTATGGGCTGACAGACTGGAAGCGACCATTGGCTAGGGACTGAGCCCACAGCATTGAGGTCAAATAACGCGTGGGAGTCTTGGCTGCCTGTTAAAAAATATAAGGAAGTAGAAGTGCCAGCAAAAGAGTTCACAACCTCAAATCCTTTCATTGCTACTCAGCTACTGCAGGCCTCTGTGGAATACTTCAGAATCCTATCTGCCGGGTACTTCCTGATTAAAAGAATTGGCAGCCTCTCCTTTTTGGGAGGGCCACGTGCCAGTCATCTGCTGTTCTGTTATAGCCAAGGGCAGTGCACTATAGCAAAATGTTACTAGTAAAGGGAATTTACATTATTTTCTTGACTGCTTTCCCTTGTCCTTCCCTACAAAGAAGCTATCCAAATAACTGCTGGAATCTAAAAGACTTAGAAAAGGGACTGGGAACTGGCCCTTTCACTAATATCATTTAAAGGACTTTGCACAAAGATCCCTGGAGAATAAAGCCCGTGACAGGGATTTTAGATCTTTAAACATCGCCTCCATTTATCTTACTAGAGTGGAGTTTATCATACGTGTCTCAGACCTCTTGCTCTTACTCTGACAAAACTCAGTGTGAATAGTTTCCCCTGAGTAAGCTACAGGGTTGGATGCACTGTAGGGTTCTTTCCCCAAGGTGTAAAAAAGACATCTGGGCCTACCCAATAAAGTGAATTATGAGAAATGAGGCTTAGAGTTCATGCAAGTTATTTTTCACCTGGAAATCAGTAGAAGCAAAGCATTCACAGTAGCTAGTTTTGCTATTTAATAGGGGCAGAGACTACCTCTCTCCTTGCCGTGTCTCAAGAATAAAAATAATTCTTGTTTCATTTAGCTTTGGTTCACTTGAGTCTTCCATGGAAAAGGTCAGAGCCTCTCCAGGGAAGGCAGCCACACAGCCTGAGAAGCACACCAGTACTCGGCTTTTCTTACAAGTTGAAAACACTACAACTCTGCATAAATACAAAATGAGATACAGCATTTCTTCATTCATATCACGACTGTTGTATTGCAAGTAAAATTGGACATAGAGTGCCATAAAATACCTATGAAAACTTGCATGTATAATTTCAGTTACCTGTATCGGATAGCATTCCCAAACCTTGTTATTTGTTGTTCCATTCTATTTTGGCAGGGAGGGTTTCAATTTCAGAAATCTTTGGGGAAACTCCAACACAAAAACGTGTGTTTGTGTATAAATGCTTTATTTTGCCATTTATTTATACTTCAAACCTGGGCAAAAAAAATCCCATTCAACTTATCAGTCATCTGCAAGAGCTTGTATTAAATAAAGAGTAGCTGACTTTTGTTTGCTTAAAAGCATTGCTCAGACAATTGCAAATGCTGAACTAGTAATGTTATAGTCTGGTTCTCAGATTGTAAACTCTTCAAGGCAGATCTCTCTGCCCACCACAGCAAGGTCCTCATCCTAACTGGGGTCTCAGCATGCCCTGTAACATATATGGCTGTTAATAACAACTCTAATAATTTATTTGCAGATGAACAATAAACAGAAAAGGACTAAATTAACTGAATATATTGCTTGCTGAAAATAGGTGGTTTTGCTCTAATTATTTGCCTGCAGGCAAGCCAGGTTTTCTTGTTATCTGTTAAAACAGAATTGACAAACAAAAGCAGATTTTGCAAAGCCAGTCTTTCTGACTATCCATTGTTTCTCTGCTGCTGTAGGTTGGGGAGCCAAAACTTGTGCTCTGCATGGACTGCTCCGCTGAGACCATGAGCAGTCGCCTTTTGACAAAAAGTCAGAGCTGTGAGTGCTTTGATGATAATGCTGAAACTATCCAGCAGCAAATTGAAATATATTACCAAGCAACAGAGCCTGTGATTGCATATTATGAAAAGAAGACACAGTTATGCAAGGTAAATTGCTCAAAATTTGAATTAAGCTATTGTTCTTTTCTGCCATTATATGAACGGTATTCAAGGATTAGTGACATGAGGCCATTTATGAACTGTGCTCAGTTCCTGCCAGCCTACTCTGGAGCTCATTTTCTGATTTACTCCTATCTCCCTGAGTTTATTTCTCCTGGGCGCAGGTTGTCACTGGCAATATCAAAGAGTATCTGCAAACTATGCTGTTCCTTTCAACATGCAGCGGAGCCTTCTACTTTATGCAACATTTGCAGTTAAGCCTCTGAGGTCTGCAAAACAATTTGAAAGCATAACAATATGAGATTTGCTCAGAATGCCCTACATCACCACACCCCATATTAAACAGCAGTGCTGGAAGGCTTTTCCTTAAAAGTCTAGGCATTGAGGCTAGGTACAGATATTACACTTTCACCAGTATAAGTGATTGGAAACTGGTCTATAGCTGTAACAGAACAGAAGTTCAGCACACATAGACTGGTTTAAAAATAGTGGAACCCGATCTAAGATTTGCGCCCTCCCCACCCCGGGCAAACGTGCGTTCCATTCGCTACTGATCTAAACTACGGCGCCTACAGAAAACTGCACAACTTAGATCGATTCTGCCTCAGACTTTTTGAATGTCTGTACCTAGCCTTAGTGCACAGCATGGGCTTCCAGAAATAGGGCGCGTGATCAAACCCATACTAAGCACTTCAGCATAACAACTAAATCTCCCTGCTTTTCAGAAGGCAAGATTGCATCCACTAAAATAAGCACACACTTCCAGACCAGACTTGTGGAGACAATAAGTGAGGAATCTTCAGCTACTATAAATGGCACAGCTCTGCGAATGCCATGAGCAACTTCAGGTTACATTAAGAATACACATCTTGAGATTTTGAGAGAAACCTAAATGGGCAGGTGTTGAGGGTTTCAGATCAGTTTAAGGGACCAAATCCTGTTTAGCTTCACTAGCTGCCTTTGAAAATCCTGGCTTGTAATTTTTTATGCAACCTCCCTCAGTGCCTGACTAAGTACTGTTCATAATTTTATTTTAAGGGATGTTAATGATCTTTTTAAATCCAAATGCTCTGTGTTATGGCTAAGCAGGAGTATAACCATACTGTCCTTTCAGGAAACAGCCACTCTTTGCTTTGTCATTGAGCAAATGGGCAGAGCTTAACAGACATATAAAAAGACAGAATTGATTTAACCATTTTTACAGGATTTTAGTTCTTGGGAAAGGTGGCTGATAGGCATCCTTGATACCAAATCCCCTCATTAAGCCATAGCACAAGTACAGCACAGGGTAGTGACAGTACAAGTTTACCTACACTTTCCAGCTCACTAGTCTTCAACCCTGGACTGCAGGTGGCTACACGTTCAAGTGTGACATTCACCCCCTGTGCAAAGGTCCAGCACAACAAGCAGAGTCAAAATTAAATAGTGCATCTGCCCCTCTGCCCAGAGGTACAGTGAGAGGAGAATGAGCTGTATTTTCAAGTTCCAAAAAGCAGCTTAGTTTCCTCATTAGCTGTGTTGGTTTACTGTTAGGAAACACGTGGAATAGTCCTAGAAAATAAGGTGGCCAGCCTGTGGCGCACATGCCCAAGTGGCATGGACAGCCTCCATGTGGCACAGCAGACTGAGAAAGGGTAGGCAGCACAGCGGTAAATAGGGTAGGGAGCAGAAAGCAGAGCAGCAGATCAAGCAGGGGAAGAGTAACATAACAGCACTCAAGAGATGGCACAGACCTTAATTTGTGGCAAGCCAACCAAAAGGTTGGTCCCTATTGCTGGAGAGCCATGGGCATCCACAGTCTGATCTATCTCCCACTAAAGTTAGGAAAAGTCTTTCCCCTACTTAGGATGCCCTTCTTTTGCTTGTGCGTATGTTGAATAATGCCTGTGAAGCTGCACATATGTAACCTTAACCACGTTCCCTGTCTGACTGCTAGAGATTCACAGCCTGCCTGAGAGGTTAATATGCAATTAACAGGTTGATTGAGAATGAAAAACAATCCATTTCTGCTGCCACCTGAACAGGAACAATTTGACAATGTTAGATTACTATAGCCAAAAAGCCAGGTGTTCATTTGAAGTCATTCTTTGGGTAGAAGATAACTGGTAACTGCTTCTATTCAGCAGCAGAAGTGTTAAACGCAGCAAAAGGACTGTACTCTTACTATGCAAATGTTTTCCCTGTCTGCAAACCTGACAGGAATAAATTATGGTGAACCTTTCACAAGCGTAGTGAAGCAGAAGAACTGGTAATGCGCTTTGCTGGCAGGGGCATTTGCAGAAGAAAGCTAAACAGAATTAGGGGCAAAGAATCACAGGGTTTGGGGAGGTGGCTATTTTGGTTGCAAATTTCCTATTAAGGCAGAACGCTTTCAGACTTTATTCTGGAAGGCAAAATATCTGTAGCAGAAGAGTGGAAGTTATTTTCTAGCTACCTAACAAAAGTCCTGAATTTGGGACAATTCTCTTTGCTATGATTCCTTTCACAGTCGATTACAGAGCATCTACCGGCTGGTAACAACGACATACAGGCTGTTTTAACAGATGATTCCTACTATGCACACAGGGGCTGAAAATACTTCTCAAAAGAATAGATTGTAACCTCCACAAATCTGAAGCATTCACCCTATTCAGTGTAGTTTTATATATACAGAGCCATTACACTATTTTAATTGCATGAAACAGAAGTTATTTTACAGTTATTAATTTTCAGTATCACAATTTGTAATGACTTTGCTTTTTCACGACAAAGCATGCGAGTATCAAGTCAAAGCTGAAAAAAGAAGAAAAATTGATAATAGAAGTACAACTTCAAAAATGTAGTTGCTCCTTTTTTTTTTAGAGGAGCGGTATAAACAAGACACTGCGGTGGACAGGGCTTACAAACCTGTGTTAAATTCCTGGTTCTTCCACTGCCCGTCAGGTGACCTTAAGCAGTCACTTCCCTCCATGTGCCTCAGTTTTCCTATTTATAAACTTGAAGTAAGCATAATGACTTCCCCATACAGTGCTTTGAAGTATATGAGTGAAAAGTGCTGTTTATAAGTGCTAAGTAATTAGTACTATACATCATTTGCCATAAAAGGTTTTTATAGTTGTGTTGGATTTCCTAGCGCATGGGAAATTACAAACTTGGAAATCAACAAAGTTTTTAGTGGCTCCAAAACTGAATTAATTATCCACAGGGTGAGGGCTTTTGGAGCAATGGGCTATAGATGCCTTTTATAACATTCTTGCATGAAGCAGAGAGGATGGGCCACACTTGTAAAGATATTTACGCACCAAAAGAAGAGATATGCATATGGGGATTTATAGAAGTGCCTAGTACCTCTTTTTCCTTGATTTCAAAGGGAGCTAGGTGACTTGGTGCCTTTGAGGAATCTTACAAGCATATATATGCAGCTTAATATGTCTCACCCTCTGCCTAACGCACTAATCGCCTATTCAGATATTCTACTTATACTGATGGAAAAAAAGACAAAAAACCTGATTATTCTTAATATCTGACTCATCTTTTAAAGCTTCTTTTATTGACAGTATGTAGGAGTGCAATAAGTAATATTAAATGGCAAAGCATATCTAATGAAGCTAGATAAGAGCGATCCTAACGTGGTTTACAGCAAATGAGTAGGCGTCTTAAACAGGAAACTTCATGTTAAAATTGACAGCTAAAAGAAATGTGTGCTCAGTGAATTATGCAAGCAACCCAACTCAAAGGATTTATACAACTTCACTAGATAAAACTGAATAAGATCAAAGGTTAGCTTAGAAGATATCCACAAGATCATCTACAGGGGTCTATGCAGATGTCAACCCAGTTGCAATATCTTGCTTCTACTCTTAAATAACAGGGCTGAAAAACAGTCAAGGAATATGATGCCCAAGGACCTGTAGTATGCATTGTTGGTCACCTATTCCAAATTTGCACAGCAAATACAAAACAAACACAATTATTCATAGACATTGGCAGCTAGGTAGATGGTCTACTATTATTATCTGGTTTCTGGTAGTGGCCAAAAGTAGATGCTTAACAGGCTGCTTTTCATGCTAACAATTCTTTATTTGAGGTAAAACATTTTTGCAAGCCCCTTATAGGCACTTAAAAAATAAAACGTATTAGTGATGATAATGGTTGTCTCTATATAATCTATTAATTTGCATATGTTTGGAAAAGCTAGCAGAGAATATGTGCCCTTGAGAAGTGATGATATAATGATTGAGGGAACAAGCTTTTGTTGTCTTTAAATTGCAATAAAATATAATGCCCTCTAAGCCCTCCACCTTTCGCATTATTGTTATGACCCTGCCAGTCTGCAATCCAATCAGGTAAGACACTTAGAGACAGGTCAATCACCAACCCACAGGCAGAGATAATATTGTCTTAAAGGGAGTTGCTTGAAATGGAGATAATTGTGCAGCAGACAGAGGAAATGAAGTCATGAACATACCTTGAGAAGAGTGCCATCTTGAAGGTCTGTTTGTGGAATCTGTCACAATACTGAGGGGACAAATACCCTGCCTTCTCTGCCAGACTTTTAGTCAGCGCTGCTCGCAGAGGTTACGAAGTTGCTGGCCAACAACCTGCAAGCTGCACCTGTCTCCTTCCTGGCTGCTGCAGTTTGCTGCTGGTGAAGGGTGAAGATATTTTTTGGTGAATGAGTAGGAGGGGAAACAGGGTTGCAGCTGCTCTGCAAAACAGTGTTACAAGTCCTCTACTCAAGAAAACAACCCTTCGTTCTGACAGTCTGACCGGAGACCTTTGTCTCCGGTTAGGAGAGTAACTGGAAAAGTTGTGGCAAGGCAGCTGCACCAATTGCATTTATCAATCTCTGAATCAACAGACAAATATAAAATAGCCATGATTCCTGGCCATCTATCTACAGCTTTTACAAATGCTGGCCACGGAAAAGCTAGCAAATACTAACAGGAGTAGATGGAAACCTTCACAAGCGCCCAGCTGTGAGCAACATTCTTCTGCCCCAAGGGCTT